GAGTATTTATGTGACTTGATCACATTGCTGGCCCCAGAGTATCTTCAGGTACTTCACAAATCAATATGCAATGGAATGAAAGAACTGATGAAATTGGCTTCCAGGGGAAATGATTGCATTAAAATGAATTTGGATCAAGCTGTTCAAATTAGCTTTTAAAATTGTTCTTTGTTATGTTATAGTTGAGCACATATTGTTTCTCAGTTTATTGAATTTGCTTTGGTAGAGACTTAATCTCTTTTTTAATGTGCCAGTGTAGATGTGTGAGATACAGTCATAAGTTGCTCTGGACATGTTAGACTTGAATATTTTCAGCCTGCTGAATGGAAATATGTAAATGAACTGATTGTGAAGTCTTCTGGGTATTTTGACATTTTAGACACATGGAGGCTTGGGTCCACTCTCTGTAACTGTTTAAAGCAACACTTGCAGATTTCATGTAAACATATTTCTAAGATTCAAGTGTAATAAAAATAGGACTTGTATTATCCATAAGCCAAGAGGAGTCTGAGGGACTGGAATCTGAACTTTCTAGTAAATTTCAAGACTTACTTCATGAGGCCTTTTCTAAACCTAGAGAACAGGGAACAATTTTCTAGTCTTAGATATAGCCAGCCAGCTTCAGGATGGTTAAGCTAACATGGCAAGATTCAGTAAACATTTGGCAGTGTTTTTCATTCTTTAATATGCATTTTTAGTGTGATATAGTAGGATGAAGAAACCATAAGAATTTAATTATATTTTAATAAGTGGCACTGCATTAAGTCAATTTCTCTTTATTTAGCTAATGATTACTTAATCTTTTGCTGATTCCTTTTTTCTCCCCTTTCCTTTATCTACCTTTGCACTATTTTACGTCTCTACATTATACTTGAGGGTGTTCATGAGAAAAAAAAAGAAACCTATTCTTGTCTACTTTTCACCTATTGCTTATTTCTGAATTCTTATAAAGTTATTTATAAATCTTTCCAAAGCTGCCTACTTTTATACAACTAAAATTAGTAATAAAGTAACATTATAACTTTTTGAAAGATGTTTTTACATATATATTTTAGTTCTAACTATGAGAAATTTTAGTTTCCTAGAAACCAAATAACTGGTTGACCTACTCCCTCTTGGGGTAAATATTTAGTTTTACCCAAAATGATTTGTAGATACTAATTCTTGATAATCATTTTACCAGTGAGAACAGAGATTTGGATAGCCCGAAGAGATGTTTAAAATAATTTAGATTGGACTTTGTAATAATTAGGCAGATGTATTCAACCTGAGCTGCATGTTAGGGCTACCTGCAGAGCCTAGGCCACACCATGAGAGATTCCCTCTACCTTTTTGGGGCGGGACCCAAGCATTTACAGTTAAAATCAAATTAAATTTAATCTACTTCTAAATTTAATGTTAAAATTCCCAGGTTATTCTAATATGCAATCAATGTTGAAACCCCCCTTGTATAGGTTATGGTTTTGCTTCTACAACTATCCAGTCTTACGTACAATGAAAGGGCACATTATAAGTTTTAATGATTGGTACCAATCTTGTACTTTATGGTGTGTGAAGCAGTTTTACATAATTTACATGATTTTTGCCAGGAATTCATTTTATACAGTAGGAAAGAATTCAAATGGTAAGTGACTGGTCTCAGATTATATAGCTATTGAGGAACCAAGGTTGGACAGTAAGACATCCTCCCTTAAATCTGTCTTTATCACCACCCCACAGTGTTTAGATCTTAGTCAGTTGAAATGATGGATTTTGAATTATAATTATTGACCTTTACATATAAGCTTTGATTATTGACGAACTAGTACATGATAAATGAACTAGGTTAGATCCAACTACTACAAAAGAAAAACAGCCTCTAGACTTTATTATATTGGAATTTTATTACATTTGTTATTCTTAATAAATGGGCTATTGCCAATCTTAAAAATCATTTCTAATATTATTTAAGATACCTAGGGTTTCCTAATAACTGTATTTGTCTTAATAAACCTTGACTTTTATGTATGTTTCTATTTTCTCTTTAATAATTAGCCATTAAAGATAGTGGTCAACTGTTAGTACTTTCATTTTTTTAATATGTATTATGAAAATTAAGCATTTATTACTTCATAGAACAACCTCTTCCCACTGGCAAATACAGACTAACATTGGAATCTATTGAATACAAAGGCAAATTTATGTTTTATCTGTTAGATGTTAGAGAGTGTTAACACTTTTCCTTTGGATACTGTTTCATTTTTTTTTCTCTAGACAGCTTATACCTTTCTATTAGAATTATTTTATATTGTTTATTTTAAAATATTTTACTTTTTTTTCATCTCTTTGACTAGCTCATTATTTTTTTATTGAAAAAGTTATATACATGCATATAGTTAAGATGCACTTTAGACAAGGGGTGTAATGATGAAAATTTCTCCTTCCTACCCTAGACCTCTTAGTTCTGTTCTCAGAAACAGCTATGTATATTTTTTTAGGTTTCTGTGTTTGATTTTTCTGTTCTATTGAATACTGATGTCAAATATGAGTTGCAATGAATAGCATCACACAACATTTTTATCATACATTTGATGTGTTCTAGTTGTATACTGCATTCTAATAAATGACATTGCTATTTAAGTTTTGCCTTTTATTCATGCATTCTTTTCAATTATTTTCAATGTTATCAGTTTATTAGTGATAATTATAGATATGTCTCTGTGATATTTTAAAATTAAGTGGTTACATCCATTAAAAATCATAAATGGTGTTGGCATTAGAAATCAGTGCATAGTATATATTCTATGTGTGTGTTTGTGGTATTGTCAAATCCTTTGTATGTTAATGAAATTATCTTGTGTCAAGGTGGTATAAAAAAGGAATTATATGAAAAAACGTTCTTAAGATATTTTCGTAATGAACTTTAAACCTTATTTCTAAAAGTTGCCCCTTTACTTTTAGGCAATAAGAAAGCAAAAAAGGAAATAGGGACCATTGGCATCATTAATTGATGAGCAGCCTGTGTAGTCCCTTTTGACCTAGAACTCTGAAGTTCAAGCTCCCTCTTAATAAGGCAGTTTGAAATATTGACTAGAAGCCTTGATTTCCAGATTCTTTACCTGTTGCCTTTATTATAGTGTTTATGCTATAACTGGGTCTTACTGGGAACTTCAAATTTCAGGAATATTGACGTTTGTTATTATCTTTTACCTGTGTAGCCCTAGTTTTGTTTTCTTGTAAAAAATAATTGATTAATATAACTTAGATTCTTAATGGATAATGAAAATATAAAAGCCTCTTATGTTTTATATTCAGTGGGTCACCTTAAGAGAGTAAGAAGAAAACTAGGTTAATTTCACAGGTCAATATTTTCCTTTCTATGTACCTAATATTAAGTAATTATAGTTTAATTTGAGTTTTTAAATGAGGAAAACTATTCAGTGTTTCTTAACATTGTTCTTTATGGAAATTCAAGTTTCGAAAATATTCGGATTCAATACTAAATGAAAAAGTGTGCTTCTCTAGATTTAATTTTTTGTCCACTTTCATTTATATTTTGAAAAAGGAAATTTTAGTTTTAGTCAGTTTATCTGTGGTAATAAGGAATTACAAAAGGTCTTAAATGGTATTGGATGGATATTTCAGTTTTCAGATAAGACCAACAAACAGTTCGACAGTAAGGAAACAAAATATGAGAAGCAAAACATTTCAGATTACATCAATCAGAATAATTTATTTTAAAAACCATAAACATTGCAAAGAAAATTAATTCTATCTGTTGTGGTTTTGTGAATCAAAGGGCATTTTTATTTAATCTTTTTATCTGAAAACATTTTTTAAAGTAGAATCAGATTTTTTTAATAATCAAATACAATGTGATAGAAATATACTAGTTTAAAGCATTATCTTTATCTGATTTTGGCTTGAAGACAGTAAATGAAGATTTTGGTTTAATTTTTATAGGTTAGGTAGTTCCTAGATCACAAATCATTTTTTTTATGTGCTCCTGAGCATTCAAACATGATAATTGACTGATTTTTTTGTTTGTTTTTTAAAATTCCAATATATATTGTATTTTTAATGACATTCAGTAAGGGACACATCCTGTTAAGTAGTTCCTAAGATAGATACAAGATACAGAAAATAAGTCCATATAAGATACAGAAAATAAGTAACACACACACACACACACACACACACACACACACTCGCATACTTTTCCCTGGGAGACGAATCTCAAAGTAAAACAAAAATATAACAAACGTAGAGTAGAAAACCTGGTTGACTCAATTTCAGAAATTCAAAAGGAACGTAGCATAAGTAGATGAGATTGTGTGTTATTTTCATGTGTCGTGGGACAGGCAGCATGTATAGTAGCCTTAGGAAAGTAAATCCAGTTAGTCATATTCTCGGAGAGCTGGTGCCAGGGTGGGGAAAGGAACCATACCAAAATCATCTGGGGCCCTCACCTGTTTCCCATTCCTAGAATGTCACCCATCCTTGGCTATGTGCAAATAGAAACACCAACTGATAAGTGTGAAGTATGTTGGAACAGGACAGTGAAATCAGCTCTGGGAAAATGACTGATGGCCACATTCTGCTAAACACTGGGAGCTCCAGAAGGCATAGGATGCGGTCTTGGCCTTTGAGGAAGTTAGCATTTACTGGGTTAGTGGTGAGGTGTTGTGAGATATTTACATAATATCTGTGTCAGTCCATGGTTTCAGGATTTTAGAATTACCAATATTTTAACCAATGATAAATAAAAATACAATGGTAAAGCATTTAAGTCTTACATGACTTTCTTTGTCTGTATTGTCCTGACAGATAGGCATTTTTTTTTAATTAAAGCAGTATAAATAATGAGATTTCCATTCAGCTTTTTAGATCTGTTGCTAGAAGATATTCACATATTTCAAACCCTCTTTACTGCTCCTGTGATAAATGAGCAGAAATTAAAAGAGCTCTTTAATGACATATTATTAATATTTTTTATAAAAATGCTGCTGCTACGATTGCAGGTCCTTTTGGAATAAATCATGGAATTGAACTTCATTCAGATGTGGTGGAATATGCCAAGGAGAAACTGGAGAGCTTCATCAAAAATAGTGATAGCTTTGATAAGTAAGTATAGTTTTGGTCTTAAAGCACTTGGTATGTAAGATATGTGTGACATGTCTGTTCCTCAAGACTATTAGTTTATTGATCATTAAATAGTCAATTGAATGCAGCAAAAATCAATGTGGTGTAAAATGAGAGAAAAAAATTAACTTCGAATAATCATTCTATGCTATACTTTTTATTCTATGTGAGTCTATAGAATTACAAATAGATGCAATAACTTTAAAAATTTTATGTTAATATCACTATTAGTAGGGTAATGTTCCATTCATTAAACATAATACAAGTTCCTTTTCTGAAGAGACAAAGATGTTTGATTAGAATACTTTTCTGGAACTGGTTTTATACCTTCAGGATAATAATTTAATAGTTCTGCCCTCTTTATTTGTGACATAATGGTGATATCTGTTAGCATATAAAGGACTTTCATAAAAAAACATCCAATTACTTTGTAATTTATCTAGAGGAAATTATGATAGAAATACAATGATAGATCTTGGATAGGGTTGTGTTTGAGAAATTTGTTTATGAAACCATTGTTTTGAACTCCTGGTTTCCCTTCAAAGAAATGCTGCACAGTCTTGGGTGCTTGAGCTGACAGGGAAGGTGGGTAATATTTGTTGGTTAATATTTCTAAAATTCAGCAGTGATAATACTATGGAGCAAGGGCTTCTTATGCTGAAAAGTCCATGAACTCTGAAATTATGTAAAATTTGGAGGGCATTTATATCTCTCAACTAGTCATTTTCAAAGAAAGCCTTAAAAAGGGTAGGAATCACAAGCTTACAACTTATTCATTTAATGTAACTAAGTTTTAGTGCAACTATTCAGAGTTCCAACTCAGGTTGTTGGGAGTGTGCCTTCCATATTCATCTCTAGCTCCCTGGCCATGACCATGGAGGTGAGGAACTTGGAGGAGTCTGGATCGAAACTGAGGGCTTTTTTCTAGAGAGTTTATTTAGGCTTGGGGACCCTGTCCAGACTGTGAATGCCTCAGAACTGTATTTTCCTTTCTCCTCCCTTTCTTCACCCCTCCTTCCTCTTTCCCTCGCCCTTTTCTTTCCTTCCCCTTTGCCATTGCCAGTTTGTATCTATCCTCTGGCAAGTGGCACTTGAGCATTTAAAAGAGCAGAAAACTGATATTATGTTGTAGTGAAATCCTCAGTGTTGAAAGGGAGGTTTTGTGTCTACCTAGGTATGATTGTAACTGGGATGGTAAAGACCTCAGTCAAGGCAAGCTTGGGAGAGTTTGGAAATGGTCGGTTTTTATTTTGTTCTATAATTAATTCAATGGATTTGAGCAAGCCACTTGAATTTTCTGTATCAAATTGCTGAACACCATCATTTATCTTATTTATGCTTGTCTTTATAAATAATTAACATTTAATTCACATTTTGAATCATTTTTCAAGTGCTTACCGTGTTGGTTCATATTCTATTTCCAAGAATAACATATTGAGATAAAAGTTCTTAGCCCAGGTAATTTTATAAGAAATTGGGATTTAATTTTAGCATCCTTTTGTATTTCTGCCTGTCTTATGATTAGTAGCATGTTAAGGGCTTCAGATGTGGACAAATTTTTTATACTGTTTATTAGAACTATAGAACTTTGTTAAATTTGAATTTCTATTTTAAGTATTTTGATGTTGAAATTGTGTACATGTAAGGACTTTTGAATACATTTAAACTCAGAAAATATAAAAGTAATACTAGTAAAAGCAAATGTTTAAGGTCTATTGTAAGGTCCTTTATATGTATGTTAGATATTAATACATTTCATGTATTAATAATACATGATGGCACAGATAATTCAGTTTTGGGTCATTAATCGAGCAGAACAAACTCAAGGAAGAACCCGGAATCTTTGAAGCCCCTCTATACAAGTATCTATGGAGCTCAAGTTTATTGCTGACAAGAGGACATGGTCCTGGGAAACAATAAAATATGTCACTATTGAAAGCATTTTCTATGCTGATTTAATTTAAATATTAAATAATCCATAACAGATAAGTTTCAAAAGTGTGTGTGTGTGTGTGTGTGTATGTAGATATATATATGAAATACCTCAATTCTTAAGTTTTCTAAAATTATTTTCATGTCATTATAAAATGATCAAATTTCCTTGGCTTGTATTTTTTCAGTTTGTTGTTATTGCCTTATTTAGATTTGTTATTCATAAAATGATAAATCAAAAAATATGGTGATGTGACTGATCTGAATGTTTCTTTTTAATTTTTAATGGTCTTATTTTTTAGTTAAAATAATCACATTTTATAATATAGTTGTTTCTGAAGTGTTGCAAGTAATTTTTAAAACAGATTCCTATATTAAACTAGTCTGAAAAAATTAGACTGTTCTGGAAATTTTAACTATTTTAGTTTTCAAGTAGTGTTCTGAAATACTAGTTATGTATTTCAGATTTTTTATAAAAGTATCTTGCGTACAAAGAATAGGTGCTGGATAAGTGTTTCATTTTGCATAAAATAGTGAGTGATTGCAAGTTAAGTAATCAAAGTTGATGTGTTATTCAGTGGGCTCCTTTTTTGTCTTTTTATATCATGTTTTTAGTGACAGAAATTATAAAGACATAATAGTTTTTTTTCCTATCTTATTTGTGTTTGATAATTTCCTTGGAATTTTTCTTGATGTTTGTGGATAATATTTTTACTTCTTTTCCATTTTTAAATTTAAATAACTTGCCGTGCAAAGTGACTTTAAAAATCCCATTTCCAAGCAGTTTCATTATATTTAATTGTGTACAGGTCATCAAAATACATATTTTAATTAAAATATAAAGTAATTCAGGAAAATTAATTGCTATTTGTGTGTTCCATAGTACCAGATTATCCTTGATTATGTGTAACACAGAATAGATAGCTAAAACTTAATACTCTTCCCGTCTTATTTATCCTGTTGGTTTGGATCTTTTTTTATCAGTTCCTTTTTCAAAAGCATTGTCATGTCACTTACAGTTTAAACTGCATCTGTAAAGTTTTCTTGCATATAGCTATTGGAGAACATACTGAACATCCAAATGTGGTAGGTGAGAAGAAAATTGATAAACTACTCAACATTAGACTATATAATGTCAGATGACCTTTTATTTTTATTTTTTTAAAGATTTTATTGGGGAATTGGGGAAGGGGAACAGTTTTGGGGAATTGGGGAAGGAGAATAGCTAAGCTGTTGTCCTGTAATCTTAGTTGTGGAGGGCGCAGCTAGCTCAGCTCCAAGTCCAGTCACCATCCAGTCGCCCATCGCCAGCTGGCAGCCGCTCAGCTCAAGGTGTTGTGTTCAATCTTAGTTGTGGGTGGACGTAGCCCACCATTCCATGTGGTAGTCCAACAGGCAACCTTGTTGTGAGGAGCATGTGCTTTCACCAATGAGCTATCCTGCCACCTGTTGGCAGCTCAGTGGCAGCTCAGCCTGGGCGCTGCTCACTGGCCCATGTGAGAATCGAACTAGTGACCCTGTTGCTCAGAGCTAGCACTCTTAACCAACTGAGCCACTCGGCCAGCCACTCAGATGACCTTTTAAAAGATACAAATAAAAGGTACAAATGTGTATTTTTGTATGTGCTGTATAAAGCACTCTTGGTTCCTGAGTCTTGAAAGTAGCATCCCTTCCTTTAGAAACAAGTATCCTTATTCTAATGCATGTACTTTCGAACATCCTATGCCTTAGTCCTGTATCAGCAGGTAAAATAATTTGGAGAAGCTACTCTGAATTTACTGTGCTTGGAGATGGAAGGGAAGAGGGAGCTCTCTTGTATGGTTTATTCCTTTACCTATGATATTCCCAGAATTACTGAAATTGCCTTATAAAATTGACATTTGAATTTGAGGGCCCTGTAAAACATTGGCACATGTTTCCAAGAAAGGTGGTCCTTTATAATGAATAGTTTAGGTCTGTTTTGCAACTGCTCAGCTCTGCTGTCAGAGAACAAAAGCAGCCATAGACATTATGTAAAGAAGTGGGCATAGGGGTATTCTGCGTGTGTTATGTGCCATTGAGTAGGCTCTTACTCCTGGCAACCCTATGAATGAGTGACATCCACAATGTCCTGTTCTCAACAACCTGCTCAGCTCCTGTAGACTCATTCCTATGGCTTCTTTTACGGAGTCAATCCATCTCATATTTGGTGTTCTTCTTTTCCTGCTCTTTCTATTTTTCCCAGCATTATTGTTCTTTCTAAAAAACCCTGCCTTTTCATGATATACCTGAAGTAGGACAACTTGTTTTGTTATTTAGCCTCCAGCAATGTTTCAGACTTAATTTGCCCTAGGACCCACTTGTTCATCTTTCTGGCAGTCCAGGGTATCTGTATAGACAGTTTGTTTATAAAAACAAGATCAGGCAGGATTTGGCCTGTTACCCAGAGTTTGTTGACCCCTGTTCTACTCTTCACACAAACTCTCTAGAACATCTTTATTTTAGCCCACTCTGCTAGACAAGTCTTTGGGCCTAGGCTTTAATGGCCCTTAGGTGTCTGGCTTTCATGAGGGAAGGAGAAGGTTGGGAAAGGTCAAATTGTATGAATCAAGATTTGTGCATGTACAGTAAGCAAAATAACCTCTCCATCTGTAGCTACTTGGAAGAGTAAGCCTGAATTGTAAACCTTTACCCTATAAATATTTAGCAAATGCGTTAGTAATTGGTATAGCATTTATTGATAGCTACATTTATGTATTTATATAATATGTAAACATGTACAAGTAGTTGACCTGGCTTCCTAGACTGCATGCTTTGGAGTGTGCTGTTTCCTTCTCAGACAACAGATCACACAGCTCCCCTCCCGTCCGAAGTATACTATAGCTCATTTTGGAAGTATTCTAGTATTAGTAGCCAAATGAGTAGAGCATAGTCGATTTGTTGAAGATTTTCATTCTATTTGAATGGAGTTGTTTCTATATAGTTTGTCATATAAATGAATCATGATATGAGTACTAAAAACCGTAATGAGATGATGAAAATAATAGCACCTAAAATGTATTGTCTAATCA